CAAATATAAGGGTGAGAATTACACAAAGCCAATAAGTGTCTTCTCACTCCACCACCTTCCACGAAGCAATCTCTCCTTTGCCAAAGCTGCTAATCTAACTGCTTATCACACGTCCGTAAACACTGCTATGTCAGAGGGGAAAGAGAGAATAAAGACAGACATTTAAGTTATGGCGAGAGCTGTCTGGGGTTTTTTTTAGTGAACAGCAGTACACTGAAATTGTTTTCAGAGGAGAAGACACCAGTAAAAATTAGTGCAATGATCTCAGAATTATCAAAGAACAAGCCAACCACACAGGTCTTAAATAGTGCAGCAGGCTGGCTGCAGAGCGCTGGCTTTGTACCTCCAGCCCCAGCTCCAAGCAGCGCTCGCCCCAGCCCTTGTGCAGCCGTCCTGTCAGGCAGCGCAGGGAGCAGATCCAGGCAAAAGTTAATGTTAAAAAAAAAAAAAAAAAAAAAGCCATCATAAAATTACCCTTGCCAGGGGCAGTCATATGTAGAGAGCAAGGCCAGTGGAGAACTTTTTGGAAACCCCCCATCCGTGAGTATAGCCTGTGTGTCTCTGCTCCCTCCCTGCCTTTCCGCCAGCGAGCGTCTCATCTCTCCCTTCACCTCTAGCTGATGGCTCTTTGCCCTGGCAGAGAGGGAACGGGCAGCACTTTTTCGGCCGGTCCTTTGGAAAGAGCCTGAGCATCCTCTGTCCTTTCCTGACTCCAGCCTTTTCCAAGAGGAATCCTAAGTTCGTTTTCTTTGTGAAAGAGCTTTATGGTAACCTAGTAAGAAGATTAACTCTAAATACAGTATTAAGAAGGCAAAGAGTATGAGAAAAACAAAACAAAAGCAAGAACAAAGTATATCCAAAGTAAGCATAAAACCATCCTTTCCCTAAGGGTAGAGGAACCAAACTCCCAACGCTCAATACAGGTAAATCTGAGTGCTACCTATGATTTTAATAAACCCGTATCTCTCCTTACTACCACTGGCTGTACTTGTGTCAGCATGTCTTGGGACCACTGCAAACATTGTCCCTTACCCTCAGCGCTGTCTGTCTTCCAACTCATCTTTGCCATCTGTGAGAAAGCCACTGAGCTGAACGGGACGTCTAACCAGGTTCAGCGCCTGCGTAGCGAAGCAAAGCCCAGCTCCTCGTTAGACAGAGGTTGCAGTCACGGGAAAGCTGAGGGGTCTTGTCTTCTCTCACTCCTCTTGATCGCCTACCGTTCCTCTGTCCCTGGAGGAGGCCAATCCAATTGCCGCCACCTCCATCCCACATTTGCCTTTGAAGACCGGCATCTTTCCCGATTCCTCTGCAGGGCAGGACAAAACAGGCCCTTGCAAAGCTCAGGGAGGATCCTCTGACAGATCTTCAGGGAAAACCTAAGCACGTCCAGTGCCCTCTAGTAGACTCCACTGCCATTCCTTCGGCTAGATCCCAAGCAATTTTAATGCTTCTCCACCCTCCTACGACAGAAGCTCCCACCTCACCCAGGAGCTGCCAGGGCACAGATGTACGAGAGCACAAATGCATCTGCCCCAGCTTAAGCCTCTTCACAGAGTTGTCTACGTTAGCAGGGCTTTTTCTGCAGCTAGCAAGGCAATTGTCCAAGAGGCAACCGGCCCACCCGAAACCTGAACCGACTCTGCAATTCCAGCTCTCCGCAGGGACTGAAAAAGCAGCTCAGGAGACCGGGCTCGACAACGGGCATCTCAAAGAAGTGCCTATGTTTGGAGGGATCAATCTAGGCTTTCGCCTTTGCGGCTGAGGTCCCAGCTGCTTACTGCCCCTTAATTGGATTATCTAAAAAAACCCACCACAACCCAAGCCACCTGAAAGCAGCCTGGCCCAGGTGACCACGCTCAAGCACTCCTGCCAGCAACAGGCCAGCTCTAAGAGGCGAGAGAAGTGGCCAGGCGTGTTAGATAACACGCCAACACATGCCACTCTTCTGCACAGTGTCCTCTTCTGACCTTCTCCGGGCTTGTTTTGTTGCCTCTGACCTCAAAGGCTATCCTCGGAAACCACCAGTTGTTGCAGCCATGGAACTGAACAGAAAAATCTGGCACTCGCTGCTGGCGAGGCAACTGCAGTATGCCAAGAGATCTGCTCCTGGTTTGGCTCCACAGAGAACGATGATCCCAAACAAAGAACGATCAGGGTCATACAATGGGGTACGCCAGTTTTCAACTTGGACCTTACAACATCAAGGGGAAAGGAGCAGGGAAGCCACAGGTGGATGCCCAGGACCTGCCAGCTTTTCCACAAGTATGCGAGGGAATTGTTGCTAAAGCAGAGACAGAGCACCTCAGGATGGAGAAAGTTAAGTCTCACTGGGGCTGGAGGCTGGTAGTTGGGTAAGAAGACTTTCCCAGGTAGGCTGAAAGTACTGGAAGGTATGGCTCCTTCAGAATGACACAGCTGCTTCCAGCTAGAGGAGAGTACAGGGCAAGAGCTGTCCTAAGGCACGGTCCCGTGTCCCTCTCCACGTTGTCTTGCGGGTGACGATCCCAAAACCTGCCCTGCCAGCCTAAAAAAGGGAGGGCTTGAGGTCACGCTGCAACTACAAAGCGCTGGCCACCAGCACTGCTCCAGGAAGAGAGAGACAGAAACAAAAAGAAATGAAAGGGTAAAATCTTCTGAGGAGCATGTTTCACAGTTTGAAGAGAGAGCATCCAGAACCTCTCCTTCAATTTTACTTAGGTGTCTTTCTGCTCCGTAAGAACCTACTGAAAGACAAGATTAAAGGAGTATCCTGGCTGTAGTATCGTCACACTGTTAATTGCCCCATTCCAATTAGCATTAAAGGTTGCAGCACTGAAAATTAAGGATGTAGGTAGGCAGGAAAATTATCGAAGGTATAAAGAAGTTTGTTCAAAGCCTTTCTTCCTTTAGAACACAGGCACACAATACTCTCCTTTATCTTTGCAAAAACAGTGATCGATGAAAGAGCTTAGGTCGCGGTCCTGCTCCAAGCAACTGTTATAAACTGACTTCAGCCTGTCACAGTTCTTATACACACACAAATAAATAAAAATGGGCATAGCCTCTTTCTCCAGCAGACTTATACCTCGCTATACGGCCTCATTAACTGTCAAGCTTCCAGACTGGACCCCAACGTAAGGAAAGCCAGTCACTCTGCTGTCAAGGCAAGAAAATCTGTTCTCTTTCCAGCTCCCGTTGTCGTAACACAACGGATTATTCCCTTGCCTCCTGTGTGGCATGCTAAATTCTGCTCCAGAAAGCTGCCAGCCATCACTGCAATTTCACAGACTTTATCAGGACAGGAGTTTCAGTCAATCAGTAACAAAAATTGAGATCTAAGGTGATATCTCAGGCCGGCTTCGAAAGGCGTACAGTACAAGGGTTCCATTGTGCAAAGTTCATCAGCGGGACACGGGCTAATTAACTAAGCGGCTTTTTGGAACTAGTTAGTTTTCAAGTAACGGTTTTCGCTACAAACAGTCAGGCATTATCTGCACTGAAAGTTAAAAACTTTGGAGCGCACTTCCAAACTGGATTTATTAACAGATTTCACTATTAGCACTACCGAAACATCTATTTTTATACCAAATTCTACACAAAAAGCCTATTATCTGTATGCGTCCAGAGACATTTCAGCAGGAGGGGCAACTGAGACTGCACTACTGAGATTTATGAAGCCTGCTGCAACATTCAGACCCAGTTTTCTGCCAGTCTATCTATAAGACCTCAATTATAATGTGATTAAAAATATAAAAAACATAGCAGTCTTTCCAAAGACAAAAAGCTATTTTACAATCCTACTCTTTCCCCAACTATGGCTGCATATATTGAAGGAAACAGGTATTTTGCAAAACCAACCAACCAATACAGATGTATGCTACAACTTTGCATGACACTGAGGTCAATGCATAACACATTGCCCTCCTTCTCTTTCCGTGAAAGTATATTTATTTATATAAATATATAGATTTATTTTTTAAATATTTAATTACTCTGAACTCACTTTTCTACACTAATTGTGTTGCTGTGTCCCTTTAAGGCAGAGTTGCACTTACAAAAGATTGCAACCAGCCATCATTTGAAGGACTAGAGTCATTCTCAGCTGGCCAGCATTACTGCGCTACCCAAATAATTTTCCAAAGTAACTCTCATTTGCATTCAGAATAACCATGGGACTAGAGAACACTGAAAGACATGAAAAAAAAAAGATTCTCCGAAAGAAACAGTCACGCTTTGAGAATAACCCACTTTTTGAACCGAGACAAAGGTTTTTTTGAAATGCGCACAGAGACCTTATTCAGACAGCAGTTTTCTAACAGCTGAAATAAACTCACTCTTACCCCTCAGACTCTTCAACTCTCGGAACGGACGAGAACACACACAAAGACAGCCCATACGATATACCGCAAACAGCACCCTCCTCTAAGGGACTGGTCAGATTCATGGATACTTGGCACTAACAGCCGATTTTAACTATATTATTCATCTCCATTTTGGAGCTGCTCTTCCACGGTCACCTGTCTCAGCACAGTCACCTTTCTGAAGCGATGCACAGTTGCACAGGGTGAGGCAGCATCTTCTATTCCACCAGCTCCCGTAGTAAGGACAAAATCCCCTGAATGCTCCTCATCTACCCCACGGCCCTTGCGAACACACGCCTGGAGAGCTGCAGGACCTTAGTTTCTGTGCAGACCCTTGCCGTAACCCCTGAAGACCCTCTTCTCAGCAGGAAAAGGATCCGACATACATCAATATCTGGCTATTTTCCCTCCTTTCTCAAGGATATCAGCAAGATGCCACGTACGTGGTGTCACTTGCTTCAAGCCTTGCAAGAGTTTAACCTGCTGTTTTCAAGGGCTGGTGCTTCAAAAGCGGAGGATCCAGTGACAAGACTCGGTAATACTCTACTCACCTTGCTCACCCTTTTCTTCTGCTTCAGTTTTATGGTAGAGAGCCCCTTTCCCCAGCATCCAGCTCCTGACCATACACATCATCAAGCGAAGTCTGAATGCGAAGCTTACCTGATCTTTCTCAGGCTTGTCGGAGATGTCATTCAGACTGGTGGAAGTCAGGTTTCTGTGAGTCATGGCTGGGCTGCCTGTAAGAACAATGTCGACACCAGTTAAAGCAACTCTTTCGATCCAGTCAGAAGAACACAGAGGCTCAGGCTACAGCAACACCCTTGCTTGCACGAGGGAGGTTAATGTGGGGGATTTAAGACCCTGACAGGCTGCTTTCTATGACTTTACGTGGCACGTGGGCTATTAAGATGCTAACGCTTCGTTGTCTCTGACCCTCCGAGTTCCCATGACTCTTAGGACAACAAAAGAGTCTAAGGACTTTCCAGAATTCCTGCCCGTGGGAGAAAAAGCAAAGCAGCAAGAGGCTGCAGACCCTGATGCTGCCGGGTCACCCAGGACCCAGGCTCAAACCCATCCCTCGACAGGGCTGGGACCCTCGTGGTCACCCCGACCTGCAAACCTTCGCCTTAGCTCTCCTCCGTTGAAGGCATCTGCCCTACGCTCCTCCGCATCCCAGACTTCAGTACACAGCTCACGCAGGCAGGGAGGTGGGCAGCTTTTGGTCCTTCGGAACAGCCAATAATTAAAATCTACCTTTCATCAAGCAAGCTCATTAACTAAGCTCATGAACCTTAAGGCTTTTACTGATTGAAACAACACGTGCACCACGCTGATAGGCCAAAAGTCACCAATTCCTGACACCAGATACCCCGGAGAGATGAAGAAAACCCCCAGAGACGAAGAGCTGAAGCAGTTCACCTCCATTTCTTTTTCCAAGACCAACTGCTCGACTGTAAACCTGACACGCTGGCATTCCAGCACTGCAAAACAGCTAGTAAGGAGTTGCTTGCTCCCTTATGGACTACTTAGCCTACTTATTCTTGCGTTCTCAGAGACTAGCAGAACATATGGAAATAGTTCTAAAGAACTTGGAAAAAGCCCCATGATTTCAGAATTCAGTTCTACAATCCCACTAAAAGCATTTGTAGTTAAAACTGAAGAAACTCAGAAATAGCCATAATTGTAAAAGAAGAAAAAAAAATTAATTAAAAAAAAATAAAAAGAAAAGACAAGACTTCTGGGATGGATACAGTATCATAAACCACAGCGGTCAGTATGCATTTTTTTTAATTACTCTGAAATTTTCCCATCCCTTCTCACCCACACTCGCAGGAACCAGAAGCATAGCAACAGGAGCTGTTACCACAGAGTTTCTGACCGTGAACGTAACTGGAAAGACAGAAAATACTCAAAAAGAAATGGCACTGAGGCATTTCCCAACTTGGGCCATATTTCGAGACAATATTGATTAAACTTATGCTTTGATATTCATACCAAAATAAAAGGCCAAGTTTTCAGTGTTCATCAGCTTGCAGTGCAAACAAGCTCTATAATAAATCAGCATACTGAGCAAAAAAAGAAAAAAAAAACCTAGGAAGAAAAAGATCTGGAGTTAGGTTTTCTTTACAATATATTCATCGTATGTGGAGTTAGCCTTAAAGCATTCTTTCTTATGAGTCACCTGGAATCACAATATACCTGCTGTGTGTTACTGTCCCATCCAGGAACGTCAACACAGCAAAAGCCAAGCACAATTAGTTAAATCAGACAGTATAAAAGGGGGGTCCCCAGCTGTTCCTCTTCCTGGTGTTACTGCAAGCCAGATTTAAGACCCCACCTATCTCTACAAAGTTTTTACAAGTGTGTTTACTCATAGAGTGAGAAATGCCACTTGGAAGACTGGTTTAAGCTACATATATTAGTAACCATTCTCCTAATTAATTATGAGCAAGCCAGAGTTAGACATGTCTACAAGTTTTGATTGAATGGTTGATATGAATCTGTAGGTAGGAGATAAACACATAAACAAAACAGGAAAAAAGCGACCAAACTTGCTCAGGTATGTTGCGTCTGTTACACGGCGTAGGCATTACTTTGTTCATAACACCTTCTGTGCTATGAATATTTAATAAATGTTTCTATTTGGTAAAAAAACAAAGCTGGACCAAAAAAACCCCAATAAACCCAGGTTATTGTAATCCTGAAGCCCCTTATTGAAACCCAGGGCTCCTTTTCTTGTATGGTGCAATTAGTTATCTTTTAAAGGTTACACAGACAGTGCCAATTCTGGGAAATCTTTGACAAGCACATAATGTACCCGTAAATTAAAATGAAAGATTGAAGCTCGATGCAGAGACACACATGGCTGCTTTGCAAATCTGAGCCAATAATATCAAATAAAGCATCAGAGAAGCACTTTCTTTAAAATGCAAAGCTTGTTCACGCTGATAATTGGTGTCACGCAGCTCAGTGAGTCAAAGCAAAGTTCCTATCGGTTTCTATTACCTGAGCGCTACCGAGTGAGAGAAATTAAACAAGAAAGTCTTTGGCAGAGTTAAACAGATCTGGAGAAGTGCGGAGACCTGCAGAGATGGGAATACTGATGGGCTGCTCTCCGAGCTGGGTATCCCACACTGCCCAAGGCCACCTCACGGCTTTGGTGGAACAGCATTGCAGAGATGGATTTCCTCTTGGTCAAGCCTTACCATGAGACCTCTTGAGTCCTGGCATGGCTAATGACTCCAGCTGAGAAGGAACTAAGTATGGCTTCCAAAAAGCCTTGAGCAAGGGTAGAAAATACTAACGATTTTATTTTATACAGTTGTTGACTGCTGTTTCAGTGCATTTTGTTCAGAAGAGCTGCATGTTGTAGCTGTAGAGACAGGCACCTGCTGAAGGTATCCCTTCATTTTCTGCAGGCTGCTTTGGTGGTTTTCCAAATTTCTAGGTCCAGTTCTGGAGTAAACAGACCAAAATCTGGTCCCACAGCTTTCACAGCTGATATTTTTCCAGATTACAACATTTGTTTGCTTTCTTTGTTAGATGTCCAAGGCTGAATGTTTCTTAGGAGATAACTACCCTTCTTTCTAGAAAAAGCAGGTAATGACTTTATCGCCTCTTGCTAGCAGCCTCTTTCTCCCTGCACAATCAACATAACCACTTCAAACTCACAGCAGCTCTTCTCGAGGCATCCCACATTTATTCCAGACCTGGACAGACCCATGTGCCAAAACACTTGTCTGCCTTTCAGACAAAACCCTGCACGAGCAGCAGCACGAACAGAGGGCTCTCAGGAAACTCCTCTTGTCACAGTAAAGCGTGTCGGATGAGGATCGTCCCCCTCCATGCCCATAAATCCCTCGCTGGCAATTCAGCACTGCTCCGGTATTTTCTCTAAAGAAACTGCTTGTGCGGTAGCACTCCTGTTTCAGTGACAGAGCTCCTACCAGGACGGAGGACCAGAGCCCGAGAAGAAAGCAAGCCTGCACCTCCAGTCGTCCGCGAGAGTTATCCCCACAAAGTGCTGGGAGCACGTTAGCCATAGCTCCAGCTTCTTGGCACAACACACCGACCTTACTCACACCCTTTTTCCGTCATCAGACTGGCCTTGCATTAAGAGATCTGAGCACCAGAACTTTACAACGTACCCTTTGTTCTTTGGAGGTAGAAAGCGTCTCACGATCCCAATTTAAAAGGGCTCTCAGGCTAAGATGATTCGTATCTCCATCTCCTTGCAAGAAATTCTACACTTAATGCTGACAGCCAAAACCTCTTGAGCATGTAAAATGTGACTGTTCTCCCCTAAAGTTTGGTGTCTGTGCATATCATCTTTTGAAGATGCCTCACAAAGTCTTCAAGTTGAGACTAGTCCCACTCAGTACTGGCTTGGACGATCTCTACAGCACAGACTGGAAACCACAAGCTTCACCTTTTACCAGCTTTGCTGACCTAAGGAACTTGACAGTATCCCAGGCTGCATTTAGATGTTTTCCCCAAATCCCTGAATTTATCCTGACTGCCAAGCAGTGTCACTAACAGAAAGATGCTGCCAGAAATGCAAGACGCAACACGTGCAATGTTGGCTCAAAAGCCCTTTGGCTTTGTGGATGCCGTGGCCCAAATCTGTACAGCCTAAATCCCTTCTGACTCAGGTTCCTAACGGCTGTGCACCTTTGAAGACCCACAGCCAGGAAGGACATGTCCAATCCTCATTTTTTTATGTTTGTATAACAAGCCTGCTCGTAAGAGCAACCCTCTGCAGCAGACCGAGCCATGTGGAGGTTATGGTGACACAAGGGAATCTCAGTCTCTGGGGAAAGCCTAGCAATACCACTTCTGAGTAAGACCTGAAAGAGGGGGAGAAAAACCCCAGCCTTAAAAACTTTGGAGTCCTCGGGTGAGCAGCTTCTCTGAACCGAGAGGAAAAATACGGGAGCAGAGGGAAGCAACGAGCCTCTCAGCCTGCAGGCTCTCAGAGCCCGGGACGAACCAGGGCAGTGAAAAGTTTCTGCTGCCGAGAGCTCAGCCAAAGACTTTGGCACACGACGCTCACCCTTACGCAGTCTGCTAACTAAGGAGAATTTCCCGATTCGGGCCTAATTTATGGTACTGTCTCTCTGGCAACGGTGATGCGAGCCTCTCCTCGGCGGTGCTCGGTCAAGTACCGGTGCAAGAAACAAGGCAGGCCGTCCAAACCCCTCCCTGTTATTATCTCATGCTACTAACAGGCTCGATAGTCATCTTTCACGAGGAATATCCTGAAATTGAGGTTTCTGTAGAGTGCTGTGGCCTATAAAGCACGTCTCTGTGCCATCGGTGCAATAAGCCGTGCCTTCCTGGGGGAACAGCACGCTCCTCTGCGACCAGGAGGCTCCCGATGAATAATGTTTTACAAAGGATAATCAGCGAGAAGAGGAGCCTGCTAGCTGCGTGATAAGGGGAGCCTGTTTTTGCATATTACACATACAGAAATTAAAAGTATTTAAGCCTGTTGCATTTACCGTACTGCACTGGTGGCGAAATTCACGAAGCCCTTTTAACAGCCGAAGGATACTTCAATAGATGAAAGAAACGCCACCAGAAGGCTGAGGAGGGAGACCACCGCCTGAAGGGGAGCGCGGGCTGACCTACCTGTTTCATCCCAGATGAAGGAAAAAAAAGCAAACCGGTGCGAAACAGAGCAGCGGGAGAGCATCAGTGGAGGGTAACACGGACAGCCAGAGCAGCAGCCATTCCA